GAACCCCCGCGAACCCCAGCAGCCTCACCCTTGAGGACACCTCTTTTTCCAGGATCTGGTTAATATGTTCTTGCAGATGCTTTGTCCATCCAGTTTGGACCAAATACATTCCTTAAACAAATGGCAATTTTTTTTTTATAAAGGGGTAGTTCTCTAGACTGTATCACAGTACACACTTGTCTAAAGATTCCTGATTTAGGAACAATCCTGGTTTATAACAATGAAAACCCAGACCAGGAAGAAAAGGGGGGGAAAAGTTCTTTGCGGTCCTGTAGTCATTGATTCTGGGCTATTTTTACTATTTTGTGGTCAAGCTTCCAGCCACTTCCTTTCTCCCACTACAGGTGGTCCTCAACTTATAACAGTTCATTTAGTCACCATTTGAAGCTACAATGGCACTGAAAAAAAATGACTTATGACCATTTTTCAAATTTACGACTGTCGCATTATCCCCACGGCCACGTGATTTGCATTCGGATGCTTGATAACTAGTTCATATTGATGATGGTTCCAGTGTCCTGGGGTCCTGTGATACCCTTTTGCGACCTTCTGACAAGCAAAGTCAACAAGGAAGCCCGTTTCACTTAACAACCATGTTTCAAATTTAACAACTTCAGTGATTCACTTAACAACGGTGGCAAGAAAAGTCGTAAAATGGGGCAAAACTCACTTAGCGTCTCACTTAGCAACATAAATTCCAGGCACAGGTCGTAAGTCGAGAATTACCTGTATGGTTTTTTTTAGACCAGTCTAGCTGGAGTGTTAGAAAAGGGCAAATATTCCTTTCAGCCCTTTTTTCTGTCTCCAAGGAGGACTTCACTAGAACCTCTTCACCTTTTCACCTCAATTCCCTTAGAGTGTGTGTGTGTGTGTGCGTGCCTTTTTTTCCTAGCTGTGCTGTTGTTTCTTTTTCTGCCAAAAGAGGCTAAATGCTGATAGCAACAAACAAACCACGATTCCCTGTTTCCCAACCCTTTTTGGATTCCTTCCTTCCTTCAACTGCTGTTCCCTAATTTAGAAGTCGAATTCCGCCCACCTCCCCGCTTGCCATTTTGCTCAAGGGCAGCTTTTATGCAACCCAATCCCATTCTTGATGATCTCAGGAAGGCAAAGATAAGCAAAAGCTTAAAACACCAAATCAGCACAATTAGCAATTATTCTGGGCTTTCATTTGATTTGTATTTTACTCTTTAGTTTGAAACTTGATAAATTACTAATTTACTAATCCACCGTCCCCTTGCTAAAATAATTTGAATTTGCTGTACTTATCTTGCTATTTTTAGTATAATTTACTTGAATATTGTGATTCTCTGTACTCTCCATTTGTCTTTCAATTGGAAGAGATGATTGTACTGGATAACTGGGTTTATTAAACAGATTCAACAGAATCCATTGTTTATTCCTTCCTTGATGAATATGTATTAGGAGATGGTTCTATGGAAGTCTGAGCTACACTTTGGAGCATATCTGGTAACACTCAAGGCTCAGAAGCATGTAAATATGCCAATGTCATAAGATCCTAATGTCTGCAAATAGTCAAAACAACCTAGAATAGTTCCGAGGGTGTTTTAAATTGGATTAAGAAGAGTTGAGAGGTAGAAAGACCGATCATCTAACAGCACCTCCAATGCCAGGCCTAGCAGAGTCTTAGGGGCAGTCATTGAATGAAATCCATTTGACACATTGTAAGCCGGTTTTTGGTAGTTTTCATTTATTTCATTTATTAGATTTTAAAATCTGGCCTTTATTATTTTGATAAATAATTCCAAGCATCAGTACATACATAATAGTCTCTCTTATTTTCTCAACCCTGCGAGGTGAATTGGGCTGAGAAAGAGTGACTGGCCCAAAGTCACCCAGTGTTTTTCATACCTAAGGCAGACCTAGAACTCACAGTCTCCTAGACCAGCACCTTTACCACTACACCAGACTGGTTCTTTTTGACCAGACTTCCAAGGTCCCTTCCAACCCTATGATTCTATGGTCATTAAAGTGCTTGTCCTGACTCTTGTTATTTGGTGTTCATCATCCATACTTTGCTTTTCTCCTGATCTCTGGAACTTAATTGTTTTACTCCGCCTGTCCCAGTGTGCTCTGGCATTTCCATGCATTTGGCAACCTGAGCATTTGGGTGGGTTGTATGTATTTTGTTGGACTCAGTATTCGTCAAATAGTTTGTTAAGCCAATTATTCACAATGATAATTGGGAAATCTTATTTGCTGGCAAATCTGAAAATAGGGTTACACAGATAGTCCTCGACTTACAACAGTTCGTTCGAGGTTGCGACGTCACTGGAAAAAAAAACTTATGACCATTTTTCACACTTACGACTCTTTTGATCATGGTCACGTGATCAAAACTCAGAGGTTTGGCAATTGACTCATACTTCTGATGGTTGCAGTGTCCCAGGGTCATGTGATCACTTTTGACGACTTTCGGACAAGCAAAGTCAATGAAGAAGCCAGATTCACTTAACAATTGTGTTACCAACTTAACAACTTCAGTGATTCGCTTAACAAATCTGGTAAGGAAGGTTGTAAAATGAGGCAAAATTCACTTAACAAGTGTCTCACTTAGACACAGAAGTTTTGAACTCAATTGTGGTCGTATGTTGAGGACTATATTCCATTCAAGCATGGATTTTGCTTGGTTTCTGCATCAAAGGCCTTTTCCAACCATTCTGCACCCTCCCATGTGTGTTTTGACTCCTCCATCTTTGATTCCATGGCTTTATTCTTCAACATGTCATAGAATACTTTCCTAGTTTCCCTGTAATATAAGTTGATCCCATTAATCCCAAAACTAAGCAGATATCTTGCTTTCAACACCTACTGAGGGAAAATACTTTTGTTCAATCACTCCCTTGTTTTGATCATGAGCTGTCCTTGTGCAGCTTTTTCAAATATAAACCAGACATATTCTTTAATTGAGAATATATTTCCAAATGGGTAACTGCTTTATTCATTTTTCTTTCTTTTTATGTGATGGCAACAGTTGTCACAGTTTAAGCTGGTGTAGTATAACCAAGTAATTTGTTGGATCTGGCATGAATTGCTCACCACTCAGCTTCACTGGAGGAGTTATGATGTTATGAGTAAAAAAATAGTTCTACATTTTTCATTTTCTCCACATTATTTATAATTTGATCTAGTACTACCATGCCTGTGCATAATTCTTCTCTGATGAAAAAAATGTAGATGTTGTCACTTTCCTTGCTCTGGAGACAAATTCCTTGTATGTCCGATCACATTTGAACAATATTCTGTTCCTGTTCCTATTCTATAATCAGAGGCGAGAAATCCTGACACCAGACCCTCATAAAAGAAAATGGTATTATAACCTTGAGTGGTCATTATTCATCTACTGGGGGTAGAATGACTTGCTTCCCACATATTTTCCTTCAAGGAAATGTGGCCTTGGTTATCCTTTGCTCTAAGTATTTTCTTTCCACATTAACACCTGGCAAGAGTAGCATCTTGTCAACAACTTTGTCCTATCGCTAGTTGCCCAGCAGGGATTAGATTAGCTGAATGTGTTAACATGTTTGCTGTTCTTTAATTTTGTCCTTCAGAAACAGCTGGTGGGATGGAGAACTTGGTGGTCATCCCAATCCAAGCATTGCCAATTGCCCAGCATTAGTGTAATTGGACAAGTTTAATAGCCCTATTATCTCTCCTGCTAAAAGGCTCGCAACAACTCAAGGCAGAGATTCAGTGAAGCAAGCACAAGTTACTGGTGTAATGAGATGGAAGCAGCAAGCTGTTGTTACTATTTCCCCCCCTCATCTTTAAGACTTAATGTGCTTGAACCAGCAAAAAAAAAAATATGACCACATTGAACTGGTAAAATCTTGTCTCTCTGGATTATAAATATGGCAAGGAGATGAGATGGGAGTTACATATTCCCTTTACTCTTGCAGCATCCTTGCACTATCACCTTGATTGGGTAAGTCTGCTTTGTTTAGCCCTCAAAAGTTTGGAATTCAAATAGGTGTGCAACATATTTCCATGATTCCATGGAATTCAGAGGGATTCCTTGGCTTTCTGCATGGAACTGAGCTAGGAATTTTTGTGGTTGGTGAACATATTCAGAGTTCATGGGATCTGGAAAAAAATAGGTACTTTCCAATGATGCTAGGATGGGAAGTGGAAGACGGGAAAGAAATTGAGGGAGTGATAAGTGTATCTTTTACTGACGAGGCTTATACAACTGATCATAGCACATCGAAGAAAGAATGAGTTGTATAGATTGCTTTGCTTTGCACTGGCTGTTAATGCTGCATCATCTGAGGAGAAACTCCAGCAAAATAAACTTTGGTTTCTGTATGTACCTCACTTCTTAGTCTCTCTCAACCAATCCATAATCCGAGTCCTAGGCTTAAATCTCTCCTTTGCCATTCATCTATGTATTGGTGCTTTGTAACAAAACTAGAAAATTTATAATTGGAAGTGTTTCTTTCTTGCTTTACACTCCCCACTCTCTTTCAGCCTTCAGATCAAATCTTTACTGGGGTCATAGACTCAGCAATGGAGGGTGGGGTATGTAGTCCTTAAAAAGCATAGAGGAGCAGCCTTAATTCTTAAGGTCAAATTTTAGTTTGAATCAAATTCCATTTTCCACCTCAGCTTTTATTAAAAGTGGCCAAAGTGAACCTGTTATGATTGTGTTCTGCTGCTGGATCTCTGAGCACGTGGGTTTTGGCACTGCTCCTGGACTATCCTAGGGTTGCTTGGATTGGATAGCTGAGCTGATGTGCATGAGTTAGGAGTTTTCCAATTTATCTTTTAGAATGGTGGAATTGGAATGGTGTGGAGAATTCATGCCTTGTCCCACCTCCCACTTCCTATCTCTTTAGCTCTCTCACTTCCTCCCTCACCATAAGTGAGCAAATGCTATCTCTAGTGCCTTTCAACAGACTTAAACAGATAAGCCACTCTTATCAGCCCTCCTTTGTTGAAAATGTTTTGTTTTATTCAAAAGGATTAACAAGGGGCTTAGGTGAGAAGTACTGGGTGGGGTACTACTTCAATAGCTTGTTTTCTCCACAGTATTAATAATCAGCCAGGTGGTGGTCTTTGCAACAGAACCTTACTAGCTTTGAGACCTGACAGGTAAGTCATTTTCCAGGGTTTTCATTTTTTTTCTCCCTCTCTCTTTCTGTGAAAATATTGGCAACGTTGAAATGCTTTCAGAGTGTTCTTTGTGGTGTGGAACAGTTTACTTAATTTGATGCATGTGGTATGGGTGATATGCTGTATAATATCTTGATAAATGACCAGTTATTTATCCACTAGGAACTTGGAGGAGTTTGTAGTCTTATTTTATATGGAATAAGATCTAGGATTCTGGGTACCTCATTCTCAATATTCTGCCCATATTCTTATACCTGTCTTCATATTGCTATGGTTTTTAAAAAGTGTGATGTTATTTCTCTCTACTAACTTTCCTATTTCATCCCAGCCTTTGGGAAGAAACTTGGATTAGGGTTACCACATCTAGACTGCAAAAAAAGAGACAGAAAACTCTTAACTCTTTTGAGCCATCTTCTGATTGGCCAGATTTTTGCAGCCCAGATTTAGCAACCATAAATCCTTTTTGTTTTTAACTTGTTTTTATTTCTACCTGGCTGCTTTTTACTGATGTATTGCACTTTTTAATATATGTTTTTTAACTGAACATTGCTCAGAGCCATTCTGGGAAATTAGATGGCAGTATCTAAATTTGACAAACAAATAAATGAGTGAAGTGCACTCAGTACTCTCATAACCTATTTCTTTTTTTTAAAAAAAACAACTTTATGATGCATAGCAAAAAGCCCCTGCATTATCTGAAAGTCAACACTTCCTTCTCACTTTTCCCCACAACAAGAACCCTGTGAGGTAGATAGGACTGAGAGTGTGTGACTGGCCCAAGGTCACCTAGCTAGCTTTCATGACTAGGCAGAACAAAAACTCTCCTGTCTATATAGATTCTCAATCATCCAGGTCATGGCTGTCCCGAAGGTGCTTTTTAAAAGCCCACTCGACTTCCTTGGTTGTTTTTTTTTCCTCCTTGAAAATGTTTCACTTCTCAGCTAAGAAGCTTTTTCAGTTCTGAAGAACTGAAGAAGCCCCTTGATGAAATGAATTGTTTTTAAAGAAAATAAATCAAGAAAGTCCAATTTAAGGAACTGTCTTGGCCAGCTCCTTAATCATTAGAAAAAACTGACTATCTCTCAACCATGCTTTATCTTCACAAAATCACATAGTTGTAAGGAGCTACATCTTGCTCAGTCCATGACAGAGGACTACCCAGTCACTATTTAAATATATTCAGCTCACTATAACTCCCTAAGGAATTAATTCTTCTACTATCAAATATTTCTTATCTTGGAATTCTCCCAAGATTCCACCACAGGCTGTTTTTCTATATCTTAATCTAAGTTTGTAAAATATTTCATGTACTTCTTTAAGATCATGTCATTGAATTTAAATTATGAAATAAATATGTCACAGCAAATAGCATTTTACCACTAAAGCTTAGCCACATCATATAGGGAGGGCATAGCAAGCAACTCTTCAGTAGAGAAAACCCACCATCATTCAAGCAACATGCAAGAGAGTGTTGGAAGAAATATCCTTCTGGGTTCAGTTCCAAGTGGGGAGTAAGACACTGGAGTCATGGAAGTTGCTTGAAAAGGAGGTTTATTGATGAACAGGATCACATGCCTTGGAGATATTGGGCGAAAAAAGGCAAGAGATGCTAAGAGTCCCTTGGTTGTATATCCTCGGTTGGGCTTTGAATTTGAACTTGTGTTCTGATTGGTTTTCAGACTCCCATAGGGCCATGCTTTGTAGGTTGTTTTTTTGAGGCTTGGTTGACTCGTGCAGGGTGATAATGGAATAAACTTTGGGCAATTCCTATTATGGCTCTGCCTGAAAGAGGTAGATCTTTGTTATGTAGAATAGACTGGGCCAGGCCTTAATGGCCCATTAGCAAAGGGAGTGGGAGGCTGAGTTTCTGCCTCTCTTGAGTTTCTACTTCTCTTTTAGGGGAAACATTCTGCCTTTTTAATATATCCTAAAATATTTCATTTTTCTAGGAGAGGGGTGAGTTTTAACTTCCAACAAGAGCAAGTAATTGGGCTGTGAATAGCAAGGAAAGGTGTGTGTGTGTGGGGGGGGGGGGGCAGAGAAATTGTTCCCCCTGCAATTGCTAGGATGTTGTTCCTTATGTTCCAGTCTACCCTATAACATGAAGTAACCGGGCAATTGTTGCAGCATGGTCAAATGTGGATTGATAGTAATCTAGTACCTGTTATCCTTTTTTTCTAAACCTATTTTTTGTTGGATTCTTCCTTTCCAAAGTTTCATCTGCATCACCATGGCTCTTTGGATCCGTTCCCTACCTCTCCTGCTGCTGCTGGCTGTTTCAGCTCCCAGCCAAGCTGCTCCCAATCAGCGTCTGTGCGGCTCTCATCTGGTGGAAGCTCTTTTCCTTATATGTGGAGAACGGGGCTTCTACTATTCGCCCAGGGAACGAAGGAACATGGAACAACCACTAGGTAACTTGTTTTCCCCCCTAATTTCCTAAAATTCCCCTTCTGTAACATAACCTGGTGAATTTGCTTATATAACTCACCATGTGGTAGGTAGATAGTCTTATTAAACTAGTAAGAAAAATAGATAATGGTGTTTACATATCAAGGATTGTTTTTGAAAACATGATTTGCCACACCCAGTCAGAACACTGGAGGTGTTTGTACTCTCTGTAGTAGCCCCCAGACTATGAAATAAGTTGACTCCAGAGAAGCTCTGCTCCAACCCTGGAAACAATTTAGTTTCAATGAGATCTTGACTCATAGGGTGGCTGTTGGCAACCATCTGGTTCATAATTATCACTGCCTATTTTAATTGGGTTATTTTATCTTTATTTTAATGTCTTTTTTGTGTGTGAGTCTTGATCAATTGATGAAATCTACGAAATATGGTAAATAGATAAATACACAACCTGAATCTGAAGAATATTGGCAAACACTGTTCATAGACAAACCAAATCACTCAGCAAAATAATTCAGGAGAGGGGGCCATGAAAGTAAACTTCCCAAATTACTTCTTCGATGAGTAAAAACAAAAACAAAAAAACAGCATTTGGCTCCTTCCTTTCTCTCAGCCTTTCCCCTTCCAGGTGGTATTCAGCAGGTTCTGACCAGTTCTGGAGAATCAGTAGTGGAAATTTTGAGTAGTTTGGAGAATCGGCAAATATCATCTCTGACTGCCCCCGCCCCCATCTATTCTCTGCCTCTCGAGTCCCAGCTGATTGGCTGGGTCTTCTTTTGTTGCTCTGCACAGGAGAATGGAGCTGGAAAGCAGGTTAGGGTGTGGAGGGAATGGGGATTTTACAGCATCTTTCCCCTGCCACGCCCCCCCAAGCCACACTATGCCCACCAAGCCATGCCCACAGAACCGGTAGTAAAAAAAATTGAATCCCACCACTGTCCAGATATCTTGGGATACAACTCCCATAGGCATGGTTGGGGATTGTGGACACTGCAGATCAATGCATTTAAATGGGTTTGAAATTAGAAAATGCAATTCCTGGAATTTTACCCTGATTGATTCTTGATTATTCCACTGTTAAATGGAGAATAGAATAGACTTATATCCAAGATGCATACCTCTCCTAAGTGGTATTTTTCCATTTGTCAGTGAGGCAACCTCCTTGTTCATGATCAATTTAAATAGGTGCCAACTTGACAGCAATACTCCTGTTATTTTCGGTAGCCTGGAAATAATATAGTGCTACTATGGCAATAATAATGTAACTTAACTGTTTTCCTAAAAATCAGTAGACAGACCAAGAAGCATCTCTGAATCAAAAGTTCCACAAGGAGTTTGCCAAGTGCTGCCAAAACCAATGCATCCTGCTGGGGAAAAATATGCATCATATTTCTCATTTCAAATGCCCAGAGAAGAAGCCTAGTTCCTTCTTTTCCACTTGGTTTTTCTGCAAAGCATCTTGACTCATTACTGCAAGGTTTGCAGAGCATGCTACATTTGGCTAAAAGGAAAGCAGACTGCCATGTAGCATGTACAATCAAGCAATGGAACAGCTAGGCCTCGGAAGTTGTGGGAGCGCCATCACTTGGGACTTTCAAGAAGAGATTGGACTGCCATTGGTCAGAAATGTTGTAGGGTCTCCTGCTTGGATGGGGGTGGTGGACTAGATGACCTATACGGTCCCTTCCAACTCTGATTATCAGTTATCTGATGTAGTATGAGAAACATCTCAATTATTGAAGCACGTAGGAACCAGGCCATACTATATTTTTATTTGTTTGGGGGTAGCAAGCTGGGATAGTAATGAATCTGGGAGTTTTATCAGTGACAGTGATGAATATGGGAGTTTATCAACATGAAGCATCTCTTCCTTCAAAAGGAAATACAGTCCCAACCAACTCTGGAGATGTAGTCAGTTTCCCGATCTGTGAAATACTAATCCATAGCCTTTCCACCTTGTTTCTATTTAGCTTTGCTTTATTGCTGCTAACTTAATCTCAGTTGAAAGTGTGCAATGTGTAATCAGGGTCTAAAACATCCAGCTCAGTTTCAATTAATTGATTCAGAGTACGATAATCTAGTGCCAGGACAATCTGATAGCCATAGCAAGGACAAGGCAGGTATATTAAAATAATAATAATCACAAAATAGTTATCAAATAGAAGAATAGGGAAGTTCTTGTAACATTAACTTTTGTTCATGGGGAGAAGGATGAAACTGTCAAAAATAATCAATAGTATTCAACCTAAACTCATCCCCAAAAACAGCTGCGGGTGGGAAAGTCAGAGGCATTAAAGCATCTTTAGGGATGCCAAACTGAAACAAAGTCCAAATGAATATACCTTCTGTTGAATATACTTCAAACATCCCATCTAATGTTGGTCTTCTCTTGTTTGGTAGTGAATGTTCCTTTATCGAATGAGGTAGAAGTACCACTCCGAGAAATCCAGAAAATTCAGAAGAGAGGAATTGTGGAGCAATGCTGTGAAAATACCTGCTCTCTCTATGAACTAGAGAACTATTGTAACTAGAAGAAAAGAAACTGGTCCATGCAGGAATGGAGAAAAAAGCACTTTGCTACTGCACCTTTTAAGTCATTAAATAAAAAACCCATGAATCTATTTAAACATTTTTTGTGATGTTTTCTCTATGTTGCATGCTCTCTTTACATCTGATTTTTTATTATTATTTATGGATATATATATATATATATATATATATATATATATATATATATATATATATTCTTAAGTTTTCGCGGGTACTTACATGTATGGCATTCAGCTTTGTTCGGGTATTTTCCCACGTCACTGTAGTTGTATATATGTGTGTGTGTGTGTGTGTATGTATGTGTATATGTATATGTATATGTATATTTATTTTCTTAAGTTTTCATGGGTACTTACATGTATGATATTCAGCTTTGTTCGGGTATTTTCCCACGTCATTATAGTTGTACTTTTAAAGTTGTAGCAACGTTTTGGCAGAATCTCATCTGCCATCATCAGGCTTCTGTATAGTGTTCATCTGTGAGTCAGATTCCCAACCAATCAGGATGAAGAAAAAACCATTCTGGCACAGCACAACTATAATGACTTGGGAAAATACCCAAACAAAGCTGAATACCATATATGAGATTCTGCTGAAACGTTGCTACAACTTTAAAAGCACCACTACTATGACGTGGGAAAATACCCGAACAAAGCTGAAGGCCATACATGTAAGTGCCCGCGAATTCATTTCAGTTAGTAGATTTGATCTGCCTTTTTATAGGAAATGAAAAAAAAAATCACACCAGAAGTGCCTGGATCTCCAGATAAACATATTTTTGATCCTGAATTTTCAAGAAGAGGGAAAGGGACCTTTTATGGGAAATTATATTTGGTATTTCTTTAAAATAATAGAAAAGTTGGTATTGCTTTAAAGTACGGTAATAGAAAAGTAAAGTTTCATCTGCACAATGAAATATCTTCCAGGTTTCAATAAACTATTATTTTAAATGTTCAATCACAAAATGTCCAACAACAAGCACTCAAATTCCAAAGGTGCCACTATCCCTCACTGTCCTGGAAGCTAATACCGATAGTAATAGGAAACTAGATGGATTAACCATTTGCTTATATACATGAAGGGGAACTTGCCTTTATGTATAACTTTCAAAACCTTGAGGTAACATTTCCAATGACAATTACTCAGATACATCTGGCCAATCTGCATGCTTAAAACGATTAGACAAAGACAATACCAACAGCTGTCAGGCAGTTTTAGTTACATTCCTAGCAAATTCCAAGCACACAAATACCACAGGGATGAGTATGTTATTGATGTTAGGAAAGCAAAGTTTTAAAATTGGTCCGATGATGATCACATAAGAATATGTAGGGCAGCTGCAGTTTAATAACATTCTCAAAGCCACTAAATACCTTTCATTCACATGCTTGTCATTCACATTGCTAATGTAATCCTGTTGGCCAAAATAATAAATATTTCAATCTCATAGTAGTTTTAAAGGTCAATAAAGGTGCAGAATAGCTTTCTAAAATGTATTTGGCAACCAAAAATCCTTTGAAGGGAAGAAACCCAAAGCAAATGTATAGTAACGTCAGTGTATCTATGTGTTCGTGATAAAATGGAATGATATGTCATAGAAAAAAAAAAGATAGGTGCATTACTCTGAGCATTCAGAGTGATTCGTGCACTGAAGAAAAAAGTGTAAATTGTAATGTCACTTACTTTTTTCCCTTTTTTGGTGGATTGGGAATTGAAGATCTCTGAAAGGATGGCAAGTTCTAAAAGTCAAGATGGACATTCCAGAATATCTCCATGTTGCAATTCTTCCAACAAAGCCTCCATCTCAGGTTGTCTATGTATTGGCTTTTAGCACATGCATACATTCCTGTGATAATTGTTCATCTTTTCAAACATACACCCAAGTGCTTACCAAGTAGAAAGCCAAGTTGTTGGCCTCCGCCATTGCATTTTTGTCTTTTTGTGGTTGGCATTGACTCCACTCTGTCTGGAGAAGGTAAGTTGAACCAGGGACCCTTTTGGCTGAGAATAAAAACCAAAAAAACAACAAAAAGTCAACTCTTTGGTGTCCAAGTCATAATTTTATTATTAATCTTGGTCCAGTGGAATCACCTTTAGTCTTGACAAATTACAGACCATTCGTTCTAAGGCCACCTAAGCACCCATATTCCTTGGTTAATTCTATATACATAGTTCTCTAAACAATTAAAATTTTCTGTGTATTAGTACCTAAAACAGGGGGAAAATCATAATTTTATCCTGGTCTATTGATTTGGATGCAATTACAAGAATGTTTTTTTTAAAAAAAGATAATTGTTTTGTCAAATATAAATGATATATATTTCAGAGATTTTTAAACCTGGCTGCATTTATTCTCTTTTTCAGCCCTCTCACCATCCTGTAATGAGGTACAAGAGAACAGTTTAGCGTTCCAGGCAGGTATTAAGAGTCCAAAAGTTTATTTTATGTACTTCAGCTCAAACAATATTGATAACTTGGCACTGGTTACTTCTGACAGTGCTGGAATCTGAACTGCTTTAATAGCAATGAAAGTACTCTATTCATTTTACTGGCGTATTGAGCAAAGAGCCAAATGCATTGCAATGGATGGGAGGGGGTGGTAAATGGTCACATGGATCTTTATCCTGCTTGGTCCTTCAACATTCTGCATCTGCGTTGCTTGGTCTTGGTTAGCCAGACCTCACTGGGCACGTGCACCTCATTCAGTTCCTTTACTGCTAAACCACTTGGACCTAAGGAAGCCTGTAAGAAGTGCTTTCCTCCAGAGAATGCTGGGATTCTGTGAGAAAAAGCATTAAGTGGTACAGTGTATCAGTTAAAGGATGGGGGTAGGGAAAGTACTTCCTCTAAAACTGCTGAGTAGGTTCTTTCTGTGAAGAGAGAGGAAAGAAATATAGATTAATCAGATGAAAATGGAAAGAGAGGTAAGGATGAAATAGTTGTTGCCAGCTAGCATCCCCCCCCAATTAGGAGGAGGTGCCAGGAATTATTTTGTTTTGTTCAGCTACTACAAAGTTTAAGATTCCTTCCTTAGTAGCATGCCTTGCAAAATGGAATGCTCAAATAATTCATCTGAAAAGGAGACTCCTGGAATGCAAGATGTCCATCGAGTTATCTAGGCTTGACATCATGCAGAGCCACCACAGGTTTCAGTCAAAACAATTGATGGGTACTTTGCTCCTTTTAATGGGCATAGCTTTCCTAGGAAGGGAGCTATGTAAACATTTTATGACATTACTGAGATGTCTGTCCCTCTCATGAAATATATGATGCTTGTTCCAACCCACTGCATCATTTTTTGAGAATACTGCAAAATATTCAAAAAGAGGGTGGCAACACATGGAAGGACACACAAAGCATTTCTTTTCCTTCTTTTAAAGCAGCTGTGTCATTTGCAGCACTCAGACAGCTGCTTAGGTAACTACTCGTGGTTCCCGCCACAAAACCTTAGTACCTTTTGAGCACTATTAGACAGGAAATGATACAGATGCGAAAACAAACTGTATGTACATGGACTGAACCAGGATGAGCTAGAGAAAGTAGTTAGGTGTTCTCTTTGCACTTTTAGTTGAAATTTATTTTAGGCTTTGCAGTACCTTGTATCTTCATTGTATCTTCATTGTGTTCATTGTATCTTGCCCATGAATAGTTTGAAATTATGACACTGATTTTCAATGTACTGCAATAATAAAGCCCATCAGGAATTTTGGATCCCACGAAGGACATTAAGAGGTTGCAAGAGATCTTGTTGCAATGAGTTGCTTAGCTTAGCTTTAATTGCATTAATTTGTAGATGTACAGTAGATATGGACATTTTAAAACATGGAAAGAAAATGCATGGGTAACAATCAGAATCCCGATTTCTATTAGTTGTAAAATACACATGACTTTTAACATTACACCTGCTTCTCTGAGGTTTACAACATTATATATTTATGGCTGCCCTGCACTTCTGTTGTAAAAAGAAATACCATACTGACTTAATTTTGTTAAGTGCACTAAGCAACAAGTGCTGCTGCCTAAATGAAGATAAGGTTGGCCCATGGTATTTTGGGCCTGAGACAAAGGATAAAATTTATCTTCCCATTCATGTTAGAAGTATTAAGTGACAATCAAATCCTGCTTAATGCTACTAATGCAACAGTCTCCTTACAAGAGGGCAGCAATTGAGCCAGACTATGCTGGACCAGTCCCAAAGGTGCTTTTTCAAGAGGCAACTGGACTTTTTTCGTTTTTCTTTGAAGATATTTTACTTCTGATCCTAAAAGATTCTTTAGCTCTGGCTTTATGATGGAGAATGGAAGGATTTATACTCCTAGCAGACAGCTGGTCATTTGCATCCTTTTATAGAGTCATTGAGGCAAACTGGAGGTTTATCTGTGTTCTCAGGGTCACCTGAGTAGTGAAAACGGGTGTGCAGCCTTCTTGGAACTGTTGAGAGGACTGTGTTGTAGACTGGAGATAGATGATGTTGTATCCCTACCCTCTGCTGAGAGAGGCAGAGGTGGTATTCAGCAGGTTCTGACTAGTCCTGGAGAGCCGGTAGCGGAATTTTTTTTTGGAGAACCAGCAAATACCACCTCTGACTGAAGATTTTACAGTATGCTTCCCCGTCATGCCCACCAAGCCATGCCCACAGAACCGGTAGTAAAAAAAATTGAATCCTACCAGAAAGGGCTGTTTGGACATAGATGGTCTCTTTGATCCCTCTTTCATACAAGTGATCCTCTCTGTCCAAAATGTGGACTTTGCTGTCTTCAAAAGACTGGCCTTTATCTTTTAAATGTAGAACAAACCTATCAGGCCAAGATCCAGCAGTCCATCTGCATTTTAAATCAAACTGGATTGCAGAAAGTATGACTTCAGCAGCAGAGTGGTCAATGCCTGGAATGCACTATCTGACTCTGTTGTTACATCCTCTAACCCCCACTCCTTTAACCTCAAACTAACCACTATTGACCTCACCTCATTCCTAAGAGGTCTGTAAGGGGCGTGCATAAGTGCACCATCGTGCCTACCGTCCCTGTCCT